CCCCAAAACCCCAAAACCCCAAAACCCCAAAACCCCTGGTTGTGAGTCAGGTTTTGAGTTAATTACATAAATTTGGATTACTTAAACATCTTGTGACTTCCTTTCTCGATGCCTGAACTCATGTCCATGATCTTCTTGTTCCTTTGGATTCCTTCTCTCAACATCAAGTATTTGAGGTCGAATGATTCTTTGCCTTCGTCTTCATGCAAAGACTTGGTGAATTGATGACATCGTCGTCTTTGACCGACAACTTCACAACAAGAATGTCTAAGTCCGGAAATTCAGGCTTTAAATGGTGAACGACACCAAGTCCTTCAAATGTCTGCGTTTGGTATGTGCATGGGCTCTCCACTGTTGGCAGTAGAAACTTCTCATGCTCGTTCAAGTGGGAAGTTTAAGCATTTCAGAGATCTCGTGTTCAAACTTCATCAGCTTGGTGGACACTCAGTGTCTGGCTCCATGCAACGTTGCAGTTGCAAATCAGTTTCAAACGAAATACTTATTGCAAAGATTGCTTGACACATTTCTAAACTAAACCTCAGAAACATCATTTCAGCCAAATGCTTACTCCACTCAGTGGATTCAGTGCCGAAGAATGGGAGTGAGTAACTTCAGGTTGACAGCTCCATCATTTTGTGATGGGCTCTATATCTCAAGCAGCCAAATGGTCATCCTGTTCGACTGCCTAAGACATCATGATATGCCAGATACCTCCTTCTTCTACCAGTCTTGTTTGTTGGGTGTTGTCGCTGTCTCAAGTGTCGAAGAATCCACTGGGAGAAGTCTTCTCATAGCCAAGCAGGCTTAACCAAGAATCAAGTGCACTGGGATACACCATAATGTCAGGCTCTCTGGATTGTGAAGCCTCATCAACGACACTGACCTGGGGACTTTGGGTAGAAGGCAATCTTGCTGTAGAGTGGTTAACCTTCTGTTGAGCGCCTTGCTGGGTGAGGACATTGAACCCGTCTTTGCAAAAGTTATCAAGAGCGGAGTCGCAATAATTTCTCAAGAAGCTGGGCTGGTGGCCTTCAAGAAAACTTAGAGAGTAGTTGTCTCCTTCAGAAGTAGCATAGTGAGGTGGAAATTTGCCCATGTTTGCTATTGCGAGTTCACCCTCTTTCAACTCGAATTTGGTCTCTTCGTGAAGCTCTGAATCTTGCTTGATGTGCTGACCCCACTTCTCTGTGGACTCTTGATATCTAGGTGGCGATGTTGGCATGGAACTGCAAAACTTGCGTGACTTCCCAGTGCTGTGAGGGACGACTCCAGCATCTTCAAACATGTTCTTGCTCACCTTGACCGGATTGTAAAGTTTAGGAGAAACTTTGAAAGTGCCTTTGCCGAACAGTTTCGGAGCCTTGGGGTGCTTTTGCTGCTTTACCTTAAACTCCTCACAGTATGCAACTCCTGCAGGTTCTTCATGTTTGCGAGCAAAGAAAGCCTGGTTTAACTCTTCGAGATGATCCGGTGTGAAGTCATGGAACTTGAAATTTGGTTCTTGTGTACACATTGCAATGACAACTGTACCATAGAAGGCTCTACCGAATAGTTCGGTTAAAACTGCTGTGTTTTGGTTTTTGTGAGCGTACTCTCCGTGGAACTTCTGGAACAGAATCTGCAAGCCTTTGTTCTTGGTCTTCAGATCTGGGTTGGATGGAATTTGGTTTCTAAACAATGCAAAGTTTCTACAGAAATTTGTGGGGCTTCACTTGAAAACCTCTTCAACTAAAGATGGATTCGAACCGAAAATGTAAGTCAGACTCTTTTGACAAGGATCCACCCACAAATTGAAAGTCTGGGGCGCTTTGTTAATGCTGGACGATGCCACAGTCACTTGGAAGTGTTTGAAGCGATTCGGCACTACCAGTTTGAAACCATCAAAGCAGCCCATGGGGTCTCTTGATCTGTGAGGAAGCACTTTAGAATGCTTCCTGTTGAAGCCTTTGCTTTCCTCCTTGTCTTGATTTGCGGAGAAAGTCTTCTTCAAGTTTATTGATCTTGTAAAGGTATTTTTTCTTGGTGTTTCAGTGCTTTTAGAAACTGTAGGGGTTTTGGGGTTTTGGGGTTTTGGGGTTTTGGGG